GTCTCCCCTAATCTGGCTACACTATCAAACTGTGACATTGCCTGCTGCACTACCTGTGCCCTCACCGCCTCTGCAGTTTCATTACTTTCTGGAGTCCTCACCTTCTGTGGACCAAACAAACCATCAATCACCAACCACACTCCTAGCAATACAACCCCTATGACCACTCACCTTGCCCTTGTCAGACCTTCAAATCTTGTCCAGCTAAGATCAGATCATCTCCCGCCTTCCTGTTACCTTTATTTCTCCATTCACCTGATTCTGTCTTCTAGGGCTTTCAGTTCCCAAACTGCAGACTCCCAGATTTCCCTGATTTTCTGTTCACAGTTGCCACTGGACCACATTTACTGTTTCACATTAATAAATTCTACTCAACATTTCAGCTATCAGATTCATGTCATTCTGATAGCTTTTCCTGTATGTAAGTCAGAAGCCTTAACCAGCCTAAACCATCAAAATCATGTCATGGAGTAGAAATAAGGGAGTCTAGATGATTAAGTGGTTTAAGTGTTTGACTGTAACCTAGGAGACTTGAGTTTGAATAACTCTGGGATTCACACCAACTCTTTGCTTTGTCCCATCATAGTAGCTTTATCTGGTCTGCTCCTGTTTGGCTGTGACACCATCCTGGAGAGAAATATCAGCAGTGCTGCTGCCGTCAACACATTTGTTTATAAATGTTGGAGCTTGACCTGTTTTTAAGTGTAGTCCTGTGAATCTGACTGTGACTAACTGTATGTACTCTCCTTCATCCTCTGACATGGGAGCTGGCTCTGAGCTCGTCTGCCTGGCTGTGTGTTTGCTGGACGGGGCCACCTGTGGAGCTAGTTACACCACAGTTAGGACAAGCCTTTGGTATCTCTGCTTCTTTTTCTATGTCTGCTTTTGTCTCTTTGAACCCCAGTGGGCCTCAGAAGATGGCTACTCACACTGAGCATGCTTCTGTTGGAGGTTTCTTCCTTTTAAAAGGGAGCTTTCCCCTCCACTGTTGCAGCAAGTATGGTTGTTGTGAGGGATTACTATTGAATCAATGAATCAATACAATCAGCAGGTTTTCTTAAGACAGAAAACTTTGAACCAATTTGACTGTATGATCTGGTTGTCTTTGTAAAGTGACTTGAGATGACGTGTTGTGAATTGGCTCTACTGTACCGGTATATAAATAAACTGAATTTAATTGAGTTGTTTCTGCTCTATTTTTACTAGACGGGCTGTTTTGATATGGGCGTTCTTGGCCTCTGCCTGGTGGCTGCTGGTTAAAACTCAAACAGATAAATTATCTAAAGTTGCCAATTGACACAGCTGAACAAAATTTGTTGTTCTCAGGCTGTGGAAAAAATCCTCTAAAGATGGAACAAAATGGCCTTTGCAAAAAGCTGCAGAAAATAATACGAAAAGGATACAGGGTTTACTAGTTTAGCAGACAGTGTGCCTGAAGATAAATTGAGGAATCAATTTCAACTTAGTACCAACCTATTCTACCTCAGTTGTTTTTTCAATTGTTTTTTTTTTTATGTATTTTATGTTTTAAAGGTCAATAAAAAACAGTCTACAGAGAAGCTGAAATCATTAAGAATATGAACAGCTTTGGTTTGTTGTGATGCTTGCAGAAGATAATGCAACAGGGGACAAAGTATTTTTAACAAGCTGAACTTTTTCTTCATCTGTGTTTTAACTATTTTAATACATTTTTTTTTTTTGACAAAAAAACTAACTAATCTAAACAGTGCGCTAATTATTCACACTAAAATCCTTTTTTAATTTCAATATTACAAAAAATATATATCTCCAGTGACATGTACTCTGAATACATTGTAAATATATATATATAAATATATATATCATCAAACCGAAACACTGGTTAGCTGCCGGCTGCCTTTTTTCAGCAAGGACATATTCTCTGTCCAAACCAACTGAGTTTAAGTTATTCAACATGAGAATAAACATGAGAATAAATGTAAAGTCAGAAGATGCTATAGATATTTCAAAAGATCTATGAGCTGCAACTACAGCAAAAGGTGATTATATAAAGTATTGACTCAGTGAGACTATTTACAGATGGAGAACTTAATTTTAAGATTTTTATTTGCAAAGAAAATTTGTAAGTGGTGCACCCTTTTCCTTTTTGAATTAATTGTGCAATATTTAATAAGACTGTAACATAACAAGCCATAAAATATCACTGCGAATATAATGTCTTTAAAAGTAAAATCTTCAAAAAGTATAAATAATTTTAACTAGACAGAATATTCTTTTTTGCCATGTGTGACCTTTAATTTAACATTAATAATCTTTTTTACATAAAAAACTTGAAGGCTAAAAATAATTTAATTTGAATAAAGACTCTATGAAATGTTTTTAAGTTATTCAAAAGCATTTGATTTGTATGTAGGTATGTATGTTCAGTGTCACAAAAGTAAATATTTGCTTAATGTATTTAACCAATCAAAACCCTTCAAGAGGACAGATACAAATTTTTTGAGGCTTTATAAGAGCCTGTTTCAAATTCCAGTCCTACCAAGCAAAGCAGATTAAACTGAAATAATGATCCTGTTCCTCTCATTGTTTGCTTTAGCTCTGGGTTCAGTGTCAACTTCATCTGAACCAGAAATAAGGCTGGAGCGTGGCACCTGCCCCATGTTCTGGTACAGCTTCAATGGCCGCTGCTACAAGTACGTCGCCACACAGATGACCTGGGCTGAAGCAGAGCTCCACTGTGTATCAGAAGGAGCCAACCTGGTGTCTGTCCACAGCTCTGCAGAGCATGATTTTGTTAAATCTCTGATCAAGAACTTTGACCCTGCTGAAGGATGCACATGGATCGGACTCAGTGATATCCATAAGGAAGGTGGCTGGATGTGGTCTGATGGTTCTGCAGCAACATTTTTCTCTTGGGGTCCCGGGGAGCCAAACAACAAAGGTGGAGCTGAACATTGTGTTCAAACTAACTTTAATCCAGATAAAAAATGGAATGATGCACATTGTTCTGACTACTACCCCTCGGTCTGTGCAAGTCGCACAGCCTTTATCTAGCCCCTAATATAGTTTCCTAGATCGTATTCAATAAGATTTTAGTAATAGAGAATTCATGTCTACTATGGAGTGTCTATATTAGAGACTATTTTTTAAGCTCATATAAATTTAGAAACATTTTAAAGATTTTGAGATGTTTGTTTTTTCGCCAGGTTCACTGTTTTTTTGTGGTTTTCTTGTTAGATCTGATTATGTTTTTGTGATTATTCATAGTTTCATTAATTCCTTTCTTGTTTGTTTTTGTCATACTTCAGCTGTTCAATTAGAATTATTGTTTCTACCTGTTTTTTTGTCTGAGCCACAATATTAACCTAGCAGGTTTTTCACGCTCTATGTCAAGTCAAGTTTCCTTTAATAAACTATCTCCACCTACCAGGCTGCCTCTGCCTGCACTCACTTTTGGGTCTGCTGCATAACGGACTTCTCCATTCTCTCAGAAAAGACCAAACCATTAAAGGCAGCCACTCTTGCTTTTTTTCATGGGAACGTCAAAAGTTTAAATGAATCGTCCTTTTCATATGCACTTTTCCCTTTACCTGAAATACTGTAAATTAAAACTAGGTTTGTCTTCTATAAATCTGCAGTGAAGAGTGTGATCAGTAAGATGCTTCTCCAGAGCCGCTGTAAGACAGGGGATCCTTCATGCCAATAGCTGATCAATAAAGTATTTCTGAACTAAATTAAATTTGATGGAAATTTCAGGAACACTTTCATCAAGGAAAACAAGAATTAATAAGAAGCCAATGACAAAAAACACACACCGCACATATTTGTTTTTGTGCAGACAATGAGATCTGAATAGTTCATATTCTAAAGAACTACTCTTTTATCAGTGGCTGATTAAATAATAATAAAAAAAATCCATCTGAAAAGCTGAGGTTGTAATGCCTGACAAGTTTTGCTTCAATGTTATCATCACTTCTTCCCAGCTGATCAGCTGGTTAGTTGTTAAGAAATGGATCAATTTAACAAGACAACACCTGATATATCAACCCTTTTAATGTACAAAAGTAACATAAATGTAAAGTACCAAGGATCCTGACACTTAATGATATGGTGCGTCAATATTTAATGTAGAATCAATTTGTTGCTGCTCCATAGCCATATAGCCAGGCTCAAAAGCATAGGTTAAAAAAATATATTTATATAAGAGCTCCCTAATCTATGGAATGGTGTGTCTTTGCACTTTATTTCATACATCAAGTCTAATAAAAAAAGAAAAGAAAAGAAAACACGCATAGCACACAGAGCAACACAGGGCAAGGTATTTATGAGTCAGTTTGTTTGTTAGGGTTTCGTCCTTTTTCATATTCTATTGGTTAAGCTGCTGTTTTTGTTATACTAGTACTTTAATTTAATCAACTTGCTTTAAAAGTGTGTTATAGAAATAAACTTTATTCTTATTTTAAATGTAATTACATAGAAACAAAATTTATATTTATTTTTTTCCAGAATATGGTCGTATAATCACACTATTATTGGAACAAATAACACTTTTATAAAGGTTAATAAAGTGAAAGGGATATGAGCTGTTATTTGGGCCGCCCCGACACGCCCATTGCCGTTTCCGCGCGAAAACCTGGAACGTACCATTCTACATTTAAAGGGAGAATCGGCAGACCGACTTCCTAAAAAAATAAAAATAAGCTGAGATACGTGAATCTTAAAGCGGACAAAACGTTTATCGTATCCCACGAATACAAATGAGGTGGTACGTTATTTCCTATTATTGCTATTAAATGGACTTTTACTCGCAGGCACCTCCAACCTTACAACCCCCATTTTCTTGGTGCCCGGGTCTCTGCAGGGCCGCTTTTAAATCCACTTCTCATTCATTTCGCTATCTTTAACTTTGTCTTGAAATACACAACGAATACACCAAAATGACGCTGAATTCAAAGGTAAGTATCCGAGGACAGCATGCACACCAATATGTCTTTTCTTTTCCGAAATATAAGTAAATATGGGTTGTTTAAAGAAACACTCCCATGACCATCGGAGGCGGCCTGGTTGTTGTATGCATGGCTTTAAAGGTTTGGTGTTTCTTAGTTTTGGTTTTGAGCTCTTACTTTGTAACCTGCTGTTTAGATCCTACTAAATGATGTGCCTGAAGGTTTTTTCAGGTTATAAATGGTGAGAATGCTCCGTGTTAAAAAGTTTTATTTAAACTTCAAAACTTGAGCTTTACTGTTGCTGCCCATAAGTGTATTTTTTCCCCCAAACAAACATAAAATTGCAAAAGAAACACAGCGGGGTCATGCATCATCGATTTCTTCTGCAGTATTTTACCAACATTTTGACGCTTACGTAAAAAATAAATAAATAAATAAAAAACTGCATCCTTATTTTATTTTTGGCTTGATGACATCACAATAGAAAAATTTTATAAATATTATGGATGATAATTGACAGGGGCGGAGCTAGATGGAGGGCCATGGGCCCCGTGTGGCCACCCCTACCAGTTTTTCCCTCTAATACAGACAGTGGCAGCAGTTATACTCTGAAGGGGAATGTTTAAACTTATTAAACATTTACATTTTTAATATATTAGCAATTACTTTACAACAGAAACACTGTGGCTAATGCACATGCACATCAATGTAGTAACATTAAAGATGATAAATACAGAATTCATGCTCTTTTCAGAACAAAATTTTGAATTATTTGGGGGATAAAGATAAAATTATGTGTGTCTGCAAGTCATCAGTGAAATCAGAGATAAATAACTACTTTAATAATGACTTAAACATTCATTAAATATAGATAACAGTACATGTAAATATAATTTTTTTTGGCAGAATTGATAAAAGTAGGTAATGAAGATGTAAAAGATGTTGCCCCAGAACTCAAACCTGAAAGAATTTTGTCCACTATACCTTTAATTTAGACAGCATAGATGTTTAAATATCTGCATTTATTATATAGAAAAGGCTGTATAGAAAAGTAAGTTTTTATTTAGAAAACATGGATATTGTGGTTGTTTGTTTTGGAACGGTAGAGATTGACCCTGAGGTTCTGGCTCCTTTTGGCCACCCCTCTTATACGCCTCTAATAAGACAGTGTCACTCATTTAGACTTAAAGACTGTGAGACTATTGTGGCAGATCCCCATTGGCGATATCAGAAAGTGGGGTACACACAGTCATCTCTTATAAATAATGTAAATATTCAATTCTGATTACCTTTTTGCATTATAGGTGCAGTGACACTAAATTGATCTAAACTCATACTAGTCCAGCTTACTCAAACCTCCCTCTTTCTGAGCTCTTAGTGAGGATAGTTTTTATCTTCTGTTGTCATCAGTTATCAGTGTGGTAGTGATGGAATTAGCTGTAATGCTGCTCCATGCTGTCAGTGAATTAATAAGTAATTATTTTTCTGCAGGAAATCTTGTTGGAACTTAATGAAACATATGTACAAGACTTTTTAAAACACATTAGCTTTAAAGGATTGCCCAATATCTGGTACTCCAAAATATGATCATATCACTCCTTTCCTGGCCTTGCTCTGCTGGCTACCTCTGCATCTTAGAGTTTAATTTATAAATCTCTTTTTTGATGTAACTGCTTAAATGACCTTGCCTCATCTTACCTCTGAGCTTCTTTACGTACTTGCCTACCCAGCCCCTCAATATCAGATTATTTGACCCACAAAGTATTTTTTTCTCACCAGAGACTGTTTAAATATTTTGCTTTTTTTATTTTTTATAGTGGATTGTTTTTTTTTATCTTTATTGAATTATAATTTACAAAAAATAGAACAGTTTATATAAGAGCTTACGCTTAGATATTGTCTGCAGGTGCTACATCTAAAGTTAATTATTCATTTTGCAGAAAGGTCTGAGTGTTAATAGAAATGCATGTGTCACAGAAGGGTTGTAAACAAAAAAAAACAACCAAACACTGATGTTCAAGTTTAATTTGACAGTATTTTTATAACAGTTAATTTCTATAATGGTTACAAGAAAAAGGTTTGCCTGTGAGGGGTAGCAGTGGTAATGCCATCTAACGGAGCCTTAAAAGGATTTACAATCGGTCATAAAGTATGAGAAACAATGGCATGTTCTGGCTTGTGGAGGTATGATTTAGGTCAAAAGAGAAAAGCAGAAAATGTCTGAGTTGAGTTATGACTTTCTTATAGCACATAAAACCTTTTTCTATACAAGATTTAAACTTTGGAGAAGTAAAGCTCAAGGGAAGGAAAAAAAAAGAGGTGAAGTGTGTTTTCCTTTTTCACTTTGTCTTATTCAGCAAGCTTCTGCACAGGAAGCCTGTTGTGATAAGGATTTCTTTGGTGCTGAGCTGGATTCCTGCTAGTGCAAAGTCCTCAAGATAAGTTTAACTTGGTGACTGCCAGCCAAAGCCCTGTTTACCCTGCTGAGGGTTTTCTGCTCTCTCTTTTTTACAGTTGCTTTTACTCCACGGTGTCAGATTGAGCCAACTGATGGATTTTGTCTCCCTCTGGTGTAGAATCCAAGAATTTATTAATTCATTTTCTCCTTTAATTAAGCCTCAGTGTCTATCCTGATGATGAAGCCATGTTTTCCATCCATTACTCAGAAATGAACAAAAAGTACTTCTGTGCTTTTCTTTTTCCCCTTAAAAGCAAACAAAACGCTTTTTTATGCCGGATGTTTGTCAACAGGCTTCAACTTTCAAATCCCAGTACATCACTCCTGAACTGGCTCATCTGTTCAGCCAATCAGACAGCGAGGAGGAGTTTGAAGGTTTCAGCGAGGATGAAGCAGAAGAAGACAGAAGATGTTTGCAAAAACAGCAAAACGCCAAGGTAGGGTATCGTTAGCAAAAACCTTTGACTGTGTGATAAAAGTACAGCTTTTATGTACTTATTATTTTTCCTCTCTTTTTTTTTTTTCTCCTTACCCCCCAAGGTTGTTAGCTCAGAGGACGACAGCGACAAAGACACAGGCTTCTACTCGGATGGCGAGGAGCCAGCTGAGCCAAAGAGGAGGAGTCTGTTAGTCGCACTAAGGTGAGGGTTTGTTGATGAGTAACCAATAAGGGCTCATTTTAAAGGGACAGTGTGTTTTTAAAAAATTGTATAAGCAAAAACTAAGTATTGCTTTAATATATAATTTTTTTTGCAAAAGTCTAATAATATCAATTAAAAAATAAAAGCATTCTTATAGCTTAGAGTTAGTAGTTAATACATGGATAAGGGGCGGCGCGCTCGGTAAAGGACGACGTATTGTGCCACCGTTTTGGATCAGAGTAGGCGAAAGGGGAAAAACTTTTTTTTAACTCAATCTAAAAAATGTGTTGGAGGACCATCCATATTCTGTGAGTGAAAAACAAATGAAAAGAAAAAAATAAGTAATAACCTGGAGAAAATGAAAGCAGCTTTTACCAGCTGGAGACAGCTGATGTGGAGTCACAGGCTTTCTACTGGACAGCTAAGGTTATTCAGTCTTACAGTTACGTTTATTTTGGCGTCATGTTAGGAAAAGGGCGGTGTGGTCCAGCAATTAGTCTTCCCCCCTGCAGTGATGGTTTGTTATCCTAGACTGGAGGAGCTCCATTATTACAGTTATTAGCTGCACTTTTTTCACAAAAGTCTTAGAAACAGGCAACCTTTTGCGTCTTTCACCCCTGTTTTCAGAGAAATGTTTAATAATTGTAATCCTTTGTTTTAACTAATTTGAGAAGACAAAGGTTGATGTGTCCCCTCCCTTCAGAAAGAGTAGAATGTCCCTCCATGGCTTCCGTAGTAGGCCCCACAGGCTTGATGTGGAGCCGCCCATAGATATCCATAATAAAGGCTAGATGTCTCGTCCGCGCTGCTGGCCAATGGGGGTCGACGTCCGCACGTGGCGGCCATCTTACCACAGGCAGCTCGCTCATTCGTAGCATTGTGTTTCAATGGCGCATCTACTGAAATAACCATAACTTCCTCAATTGTCTAACTATTCTCAAACTGTTTGGTTTGTTAAAAAAAAGTCAGGTTTGTTAAA